CACGGGCAAGGGCCCCGCGGCATCGCCACCGCTCGCCCTGACACCCGCCGGGACCCCCCCAGTTCACACCAGCAAACACGGGCCCAGAGAAGGGGGGGGCACCAGCATGGCCACTTGGCCAGAGGCTGTTCACGGGGGAATCTGGGAGCCACTGCTTTTGGCTACAGGCCCCAAAGTTAACTAAATTCTGGGAAATATTGTCTTCAGTCACCTGTGTGGGGTCAGCTGCCTCCCCGGGATTCTGGAGCAATTAGCATACGAGCGTTACACAGTGGGAAACATGCTTGATGAACCCACAGCAAGCCCAGCCCCAGCAATCTCCCCCGTAGATCACCGATCCCGGTGGGGAAACCCCAGCACGGGGAAGTGAAGGCCCAGCAAGGCAGCGATGCTCCTCTCGCAAAAAGCCGTGCAGCCAGCATCCCACTGCTGCACCCAGAGTCCCATCACTGCACCCAGAGTCCCATGGCTGCCCCCAGCATCCCATTGCTGCACCCAGTGTCCCATCACTGTACCCAAAGTCCCATCGTTGCCCCCAGCATCCCATCACTGCACCCAGCATCTCATCCCTGCACCCAGCATCCCACCGCTGCCCCCAGCATCCCACTGCTGCACCCAGCATCACGCTGCTGCACCCCACGTGGTCACACCTCCTCCCCCGCCACCTTCTTCCCAGCCTTGATGCATTCAGCCCCATCCCCGCCTCGCGAGGGTGCTGGTGGGGCACAGAGACCTCCAAGGGCTTCCCTGCGCAGAGGCATTGCCAATGGGCAGCCATGCTGCCCTGGTGCCCAGAGCCCCCCACGGCACGTGTCTCCCCCGCGCAGCCCGGCCGTCCCCAGCACGCCCCCGATGTGCCTTCCCCGCTGTAAGCATAACAGGATTACACACGCCATGGGAGAGGCTCGCCCCCCGCACGGATAATTCCTTAAACTCCCAGATAAGAGCCAGAAACGGGAACCCCCGGGGTGGGGGGCAGAGGGGAGGGGCCTTGGATGCAAAAATGGGGATTAGGCTCCAGGGCTGGGATGTTGCCAGCTCCCTCTGCATGAGTGTCCTGTCCCGTCTGGGACAGGCAGAGGGGACATGTGCCTAGACCCTGTGCTCCAGCCAGGTGCCGCCGTCAATGCCAAAACGAGCCCATGTGCCGGCACCGCCAGCCCCGGCAGGCGTCTCTGTGGCCGTGGCAGAGGCGAGCATCCCTGTCCCTGGGGGGCTGGCCTCGCATCGCCTCTCACAGGACGTTGATATAAAACAACTGCTGGCCACCGCGCCACCCGTGGCTGAGTGACGTGCGGGTGGCACAACAGGAACCCCGGGGAAATTCCTCGAGGCTTTGGGGTCTGCTCCTGGGGTTTAGCACAGCGGGACTGTGCTTCCTGGCCCTCTGCTTTTTGGCGTCTTTAAAACAGCTGGGAGGAGAAGCGGAGCTGGGCGCTGCGATGTGGCCTGGGGAGCCGGGATGTGGGCTGTGCCCCCGCCGCCATCCCGGGTGCAGGGGGAAAGGCAGGAGCTCATTCTGCGGCAGCCGTGTGTCTGGGTACGGCGTCCCAGCCAGCCCTTCTCTGAAGGACCCCCAGAAACACCCGCTAGCCAAGGTGATGGATGGACACCATCCAAGGATGCGCTGGATCTCCTGGCCAGGGGAAACAGGCACTTGACCTGCCGGCGAAGGGAAGGCAGCGAAGCACAGTCCTTCCTTTTAAAAGATCCTGAATATTTAAGGCAGGCGAGGTCACAGGCAGGTTACTGGCGACCGGCCCGTGCCTACTCAAGCACATCAGAAAGCAAAGCACGTGCGGGGCCGGCACCTCTCCCAAAATACCCATCCCCTGGGTACCACGGGAGATCCCCGTCCCTGGGCGTCCCGCGCCTCCGAGCCGGCTCCCCTCACCCATCCTGTTTACACACTTTGCTTTCCCAGCAGACGCAATCCCCGGCACCCAGCAAGGAACTGGGCGTGTGGTAGGGCTGGTCTGGAGAAAATAATTCAGGCAATAACAACAAAAAGGAAAGGAGGCGAGAGGAGGAGTAACCTTGCATTGAACAGGCCAGTCGGGGAGAAGCGTATGTAGGCACGGACACGCGTTTGGGTGTGTTTTCACCCAAAACTCTTGGCCGAACGCTCTGAAATCTGAACCAGACCTGAACTCCTTCAGAGCATCATGACTCAAAGCCTGGTTCAAAGCAATTCCTTGGACATTGGGATCTTTCCACTCCTCATCCAAATGTTTCCTCCTCCGCAGCCCAAAACCTTGCTGTAAGAGCGGCAGCAATGGGAAATGTTTACCTCCAACCGACCGGCAAATACGGAAAAGGGTTTGGCTTTTTTTTTTCCTTAGCAAAATCAAGAGTCTATCTTAGGCAACTCAGCACAGATGCTGCCAGCCCCCGGCTTGAGAGGGAACGCTTCCAGCGGGAAGATGCGTTTGGGGAAAATAATGACTCGAGGTGGAGGAACGGGGATCCAGAGCTGGACGTGAGAAGTCCGCCCTCCTCACTCATCACAAGCATCCTACAGGACCTTGAATGCTAAAGGAGCGCTAGAAAAAAATAAATTTAAAAAGGAAAAAAGCCTAGATTGAGGATATATCCTTAACAGAAACAAATTTAAGCAAATAAACCCCCAAACTGATGGATACCACTTGGGCTGCAGCAAAGGGGGGAGGTATTTTCCCAAACACATTTTCAGTTCAAGCAGTGTGAGACTATTCATTTCTCTTGCGTAGTTTTGCCATTTAAAGCCATTGTGTGTGACTCTCTCTTGACCAAAATAAACTCTGTGCCTGCTTCTAAATAAAAAAAAAAAAGTAGTTCTCAAAGCATTTCCCCTCTTGCCGCACCCATAAATTGCAGCTATTTTCTCTGTGTGTCCTTTGTTTAAACACAAGGACCTCTATATATCTTGTAAGATGCCCCATGGCAGTTGGGAGATCGGAAACGAGAGCTCTTCAGCAGCTAAAGAATTTGCAATGAAGCTCTTTTACTTTCTCTAAACTACGAACCCGCGAGCCACAAAATTTGGATGGGAATTTTTCCCGAAGAATAAGACATTTAGGGCAGGGCCACATGATCCGTCTCAAGCGATCGAGTTATGCAGCTGCATGGAGCCATGTGCGTGCTTTCAGCTCTCCTCCGTGGCAGAGGAACACGCTTCAGCTGAAACCATCGCACGGAGACTAGAGCCAGCCGGTTTTGATCTGGCCTCAAGATAAGAAGCCTGAGTCTTGTTTTTCTGGCATGGCACTCATCGCTGCCCTTTCCCTCAGCAGATACCTGTCTTTACAAGATCTCTTTTGGATGCCATCATCCCTGCTTCACCGGCGGGGAAACCGAGGTACGGGGAGAGCAGTGCCTCCGACGAGGCAGCAGCCCCGCTAGCAGACACAGACGGCACAAGCAGGGCACAGGCTTCCGTGACCTTCACCAAGGTCATGCGGGAAATTGGAGCCAAAGCTGGGAATAGATCCTGGCTATTGCAAGGCCCAGGCTAGCATCTCGACCGCTGAATCAACCTTCCCCATATTTTTTTTTTTCCCCTCCTGGCCAGCACTCTTTTACTAATTTTCAAAAAGGGAAGAAAACATTTTCATAAAACATTTGTCCCCATTCTCAGCCGGCTGCATCAGACACTCAGACCAGTGCAGACAAGTACCAAATGTCCCTGGGCAGCTTCACCGCTATTTTCCGTCCCCTCGGCATTCTCAGGGCCGACAGCAGAAACCTCCAGATTGGACCAGCAAACGTCCATCTCTGGACGCGGCCCGGACGGGCAGGTTAGACCCCCTGGGAGCTGCAGTTGCTGAAAGCATCCGACCACGCCACCAGCCCTCGCAATACGTTCCTGTTGCGTCTCATCACCCAGTGCACGGGACTCTTCAAGCGTTGCTGCTTGGCCGGGGTACGCCTGCAGCAGCCCGACAGCTAATAACAGCTTTTGCTGATACGGCAATATCAAGAAGGGCTGTGATTTTAACATTTCTAGACCACAAAATGTCCCAGAGCAATAACAATTACAACAGCGCAGAGGTGCTTTTTTCCCAGGGTAGCTCATTTGTACCAGAATAAACTGTACCAGCATAAGCTTTCGCCAGTATAATCTTC